AGCCCGGGGCTCCTCCCCGCGGCCCCCCCCGACAGCCCGGGGCTCCTCCCCGCGGCACCCCCCCAGGACCACCCTGGCCACAATTGTAAATACTTCACCAGGGTCGTGAACATGGGGACATGGCTAGGATTGAGTTAACTTCATCTTTCTTTTCACGCCCCCCCCCCCCCTTTGCATTTCACGTGCTAATATTAGCACTGTCATAGCAATATCGTGTATGTTGGGCAGATAGGTTTGGCTAAAGCAGTGTTTGGGGTTCATCAGTGGTGTCTGATACACTGAGGACTGCATAGCTGAATTAGGAGAACTAATAGCTGTATGTATTCAGCTGATGTATGATAGTAATAACTAACTGTTCTTTGAGCTGGGTGTTATTTATTGCACCAATATAGGACACATAAGATTATACAGTGCTACAGCTCCACCCAGCTGAATGGCACAAAATGGAACTGGTTTGTGATCTAGATCTCTGCTTAAAATAACTCCCAAACTTGGAGGAGATGAGAAAAATCTATTGACCTTTGTTATTTTAGCATGTGTGTATCTAAAAAGTCTTCTTCAGTCTCTGCAGCCGAGCTTAAGCTCATAATTACATTTGAACATGTAATTGATGACTGTTGCATGTTGACTTCATTGTGACTTTTCCCACTCAAGAGTTAATTGTGTCTTCCAGATCCCTCCTCAACCAGTCCAGTGCTTAACTAATGTCAATGATTTAGGGGTTTTTATTTTTCTGCTGCTTAACCTAGCCATGCTTTCTTTGAGGGTTATATAGATAAATAGTCCAATGTGTCGCTTTGAAGGAGGAAGAGATATAGGACATCTCCAAGCAACTAGAAATGACTGCAGAGACCATCCGCCTCTTGAAGAAAGATCTCAGTAAAGCAAAGGTACACATTGTGCATTCACTACCTGCAGTTAGCTTCTGTTTCCACTGCCAGCTGGAGACATGATTGACTCCAGCATAGCCTTCCAGCCCAGAGCAGGAATTTGCCTTTTTGTTTCCTTCTCTTGCTGTCACAACTCTGTTTTTATCGATGAGAATGAGCTATGGCACCAGCTGTACTAACTCCTGTCTTGGCTGGCACAAAGGCCACTGGAGTTGTGCATTGTTGCCTTGTTCTGCCTACCCCGGGAGCAGCCTGAATGTTTCTGGAACTCTTAGATGCAAAATGCAAATCATAAAGAGGGAATACTGATCTTTCTGAGTTGTCAGGCCAAGACTGCTGGTCAATAAAATAGTCAAGATCCTTAACATGCCCAAAATCTCATTGCAGGTAATGCAGGATAGTGTCAAATATATTTTATTCCTTTGAATAAAGGTAGCTGTTACTGGTCGGCAGGGGTCAGTCAAAGAGCACGTTAGATGGGGCAGTAGCATCTCATATTCCACACATCTTTTCTAACAACACAATGAACTCCATGTTTTCTGCCTTTCAGGAATACGCATCTCAGATCAAAAGCCAGATTACTAAGATTTCTGTTGCATGAAGGAATATGTTGAAAGACAGGAGAGAAACACACTGATGTTCATTGAACAAGAGCAAAAAGCAGCTCAACAGAAAATTGAAGAGACTATTCACCAGCTCTGTGTTGAAGTGAACAAGCTCACAGACATCAAAGCCCAAACGGTAAGTGATGAAATGAAGTGGCACAATATGAGTAGAAACTCTTAAGCTGAATGTGTTGGATAGCTGAACATGCACAGGGCACTTTCAGGTCCCCACTGCACTATTCTCACTAGAGACAATGATACCAATCCACAGAGATTGCTGTTACCGGGGAAAGTTCGGAGTGAGAAATTCAGAGGGAAAAAGTACTAAAAAAGGCATAGGCTGGGGATGCAATTCAGAACTAGATTTGTTCCAAGGACATTGGTGAGCTGGAGTGAAGTGGGGACTGCATTGCTTAAATCCAGTCCTGAGTCAAATCTGAGGTTAAGATAAGATCCTTTATTATCTCTTTTCCAGAATATGTATATACACATATGTATGCAAGTTAAAGAACTCACAAAGTTATTAAGCACTTTCTAACAACTTTCTTGGGGAAAATATGTCAAGGGCTCTCAAAAGAGGCAGTTAAAGCACTTTAAATTCTGCAGAGCCTGTTTTGATGTTGAAAACAACAATTCCAGTGATGCAAATTATCTAGCAGGAATCTGGAGTGGGGCTCACTGGGTGTGACGGTGCCAGGAGACAGAAGTAGACTTCCAGGGCCACGGCACAGGGGCCTACACTGGAATTCACCTCCTGTAACTATGTATTTATATCTGATCCAGAGTCCCGTTACAGGCAATGAAGAGAAATGGGTACCTTTAGACCGTGAGTCATCTGACCTACTTGAGACGCCTACCTGCAAATGAGATTAATCAAGCCTTCAGAATGCCTGTTTCTTTCCACAACTATAAAGGCAGACTAAGAGAACAAGCTCAAATGTAGATTTCCACAATTTCTAAATTTAGGCAAATGAGGCTTACCCTTTTGTGGGTGTTTTATGCTAGATCTCATACTAACACATTTTAAAACTTTTGGTTTGGGTTCTAGAACAAGAAGAAAGTTTAAAAAGAGAAGGTTTGCATATACATATATATACTTAAGGCAATTGTAATACATGTAAGAAAAATTAGTCCCATTCTTAGTTTTCTCAGGGAAAACAAATTATTTTATTTTTTATTATGAATAAACTATCCTTTCATAATTCCTGTAAGATTTCTGGTCAGTTCTCTCAGATAACTCTCCTACAAAGGAAGCTCTCAATACAAAGAATAAGATTTTAGAGAGATCACTGCTGTTTTCCCACTCTGGCTTTATAATATAATCTGATATGCTAGATGCAATAA